GTGTTGGAAAGGTGTTGAAATGCATTGAAATGCTTATTATAATGAACATTTCAATGACTAAACTGTACATAGTAAATACTACAGTGATCAGCTTGAATGACATGCAAGTACACCTGGTTAGAATCTCAAATACAGACCGTGCAATTTCAATGACTAAACTATACAAGATTTGCTCAGTAGTTCACATGTGTATTGGCTTAATCTCTCATCAGTGAATCTTACCTCAATAGCTGTACTGTACATTGGTTCGATTACTGAGCATGTACCGCTCAATAGTTCACATGTATATGGATTTAATCAGGTCGTTGGTGAAAACAAATGTGGAGCACCTTGTCTCAATATCTGTACTCTACATATGTTCTATCACTGAGCATGTTTTGCTCAGTAGTTCGCATGTAGTAGACTTAATCAGGTCGTTGGTGAAAACAAATGTAGGACACCTTGTTTCAATAGCTGTACTCTACATATGTTCAATCATTGAGTCTAAGTTATTCTGATTGCAGATGTCAACACATTTGAAGTACTCTATTATCTCTAATAGTTACTGGTACCTACAAACCTGAGTGGCATTCTTTGACTGTTGTTTAATATACAGACTTGTGTCAGTTATCTAAAGTCAGTGTGCTATTGACAGTGTCATCTAGGATATGTGTACTGCACTTGTCTAGGGTGGTTGGGTAGTGTCACCCAGAATATATTAAGTGGGCTAGGGGTGGATGGTGGTGTAGTGTTAGCTAGGGCAAGTATTCTTAGTTGCGTTGGTGGTGTAGTCGTAGCTAGGATAGTTTTTTGTGAAGGCATGGAACTAAAAATTAGTTATATGTGATATTGTAAATTTTACCAATACATTTAAATGTGGGAAAACATACAGAAACATACAGACACTTTCGACATTTGCTTCTTTGTGTAATGCTTGCTGAACTAGAAATAAGTTGGTAAATTCGTAGTTATCAACATTGGAAAATGATATGAATTTGTGTCACATACTATAGACTACTTGAACAGTTGAAATATCTTCCAGGCACTATTGATGTGGTATACAATTTAGTTAATTTGCAAGACAGACAATATGTTCGTTGACTATAGACCTGCGATAGACTTCATCAGCTTGAATGACATGTACAGCTGGTTAGTGTCCCAACAGAATACGGCATTACGAAGATGTTGAAAACCATTGAAATGTTAAATTCTAATGAACATTTCAATGACTAAACTGTACATAGTGAATATTACCATACATATATTAGCTTGAATTGCATTTAAAATAAAGATCGTCAGTGTCCGAAATAGTTTTAGTGTTGAAAACATTGAAATGTTATTTCTGATCAACATTGAAATGACTAAACAAGAAACAGAATTTGCTCAGTAGTTCTTAAGCTTAATCTGGTCGTTGGTGGGGCTCTTTGCCCCAATAGCTGTACTAGACATCGATCCAATCTCTAAGTATGTTTCGCTCCATAGTTCTAATGTGTCTATCCTTAATCAGGTCGTTGGTTAAACCAAAACTAGCACACATTACCTCAGTAGCTGTACTGTACATAGGTACAATCACTGAAAATGTTTTGTTCAGTGGCTCACATGCGTCTAAGCTTAATCTCATTGCAGATGTTAACTAAGTAGTCTCCCACGAGAATGGTTTCTGGAACCAAACACCTATGTGACATTTTTTGAATGGTGTTTAATAAAAAAAAACTGTTAATCACTATGTGTTTGAGAAAATAAATTACAAAATAATTAGAAAATATGATTTGTTTTTGTTTCATTCTGATCAAACAAATTTTCAAATGACGTAATGTATTATTTAACCAGATGTTACCAGATTCTGTGGTACTAGCAGTATTATAGCTAATAGCATGCTGGTGTTCGTGGAAACTCGGTCAGTGTAATGATAAGATTGTAAATTAAAGATAATAAATTAAACGGGTCATGTTGTCGCCTTTGCTGCTTTGAATGTTATCCCCTAGTAATTTACTGAGTTTGTAGAGTTCAAACATCGAACGGCATTCCACATCGTTCAATAGCGCCATCAACGACGTATTAAAAGAATATTATTATATATTTTAACCAATGATGTTTGAAACTCTCGCTATATAGAGAAATCATCCTTGTGAGCCAATGACATCTCGTTTTTAAATTGTGTTCAGCGACCTATGAAATTACATGTGTGGGCATATCAAAAATATATATAGAGGTCATTTTCTGAAAAACTGGTTTCTGAGAAACTGTGTTTCTGTCAGGAATGCTAAATATAGTAGTAGTTGTAGTATTATGTACTAGTAGTAGTCACAACGCTTGTATGATATATCATGTCACCACTAATATATTTATCTATCTATACATCACATCACCAGTTTGTTAGATATATATAATACCTCTTAAAAATCTGCAGTCTCTTGTTTATATACGGGCATGTATGTGTTGTCGCGTACGCATCTTTGGTTCACACGAGGTTGCATTATTGTGTAGGATAAGCAGCTTGCACGTTTAGGGTAGACATAATAAATTTATATTACAGGAATTTTATAAATATATTGTTTACTAATTGTATTTAGTAGTGGCCAACTTTGCAAGGCTTTAACCGTGAGGCACATCCATCATTGGTAACCACGTGATCGTACCAACGACTGCAGCGATTGGCTGATAGCATGTTTACTTTGACAAGCGATAGAGTTTTATGATGGAATTTGTATAGTTTTGTAAGGACGGAGAGAGATGGGCAGTGAGGCGTTACCTCAACTGACTGTTTGGATGAATAAAGCTGGACTGTAACGAAATAATATGTATTCCTTTGGGTCGAATTTGTTATTTCTAAGTGTAAGTGTTATCAGCCAAGCGAGACAAAGTACCCCGAACATAACGCTAGTGTTAACAAGATATGAGTGAGCATGTGGCTGTGAATCGGTTGGAAACGAGGCTACATGCTCCTGAGGTAATCACACAGAATAGCATGTGCACCGGCAAATATCCTATTGTAACTAAATGTGTCACAGTAGCCCATCCCATAATATACTGCCAAATTTGAATTGTGTGTCTGAATATTATATCTTCTTAGAGATTCAAAGTGTTTATATATACAGATACCACACGTGCCCATATTTTTTCAAAACACCTGACACAGCGTCTTGAAAATATAGCTTGGGGTTTATATATCTTTCTACTGAAAAGACCATGTATTACAGCGTATTTCTGTAACGTTTCTCTTCTCCAGGTTTCAGCTCGGATTGGTAATTTATATTCATAAATACATGAATTAGGGTATGTTATGTTTACCTGTGTTCCAAAAGTGTGGTGTTCTGACACAGGTAAATCATTCTCTACAAAATCATTCTAGTACAACATTACACAATTATGACAATATTACATTATATTTATTGCGCCAAAAGCGAATAATACTAAGTCTATGCCCAACACCAAACTCAAATTGTAATATCCAAAACTGAATAAACTGGTAAGACGTTGACGACGATTTGCAAGCTTTATATAGGTCAGCAATTGAAAATGATCATTAGCATCTGTAAAAAATTAAAAAAAAACAGAATTAATTCATTGTTATCAATGATTCTTAAAATTGCACGTACAGAATGTCTCACAAATCTGTCCATTCCTTAATTGCTTCCTTAATTGCTTCATTCATTCATTCGTTCGTGCGTGCGTTCGTCATTTTCTCTTTCATTTGTCCATTCACTCATTCATTGGGTGGTTGGCTGGTTTTTGTGTTCGTTCGTTTGTTTGTTAAGTCATTCGTTCATTTGTTAAGTAATTCTTTCATTAAGACATTCATTCGTACAGTCATTCATTCATTCATCATTTGCTCAATCAATATTACTTTGACTTACGTTTTGCCAGCAACTTTCCAGCTCTCACCAAACTCTTTAATATCTTTTACAACTACACCATCAGGTTTCTTGAAGTCATTTTTGGTATTACCATCACCATCACCCAGCAGACCACACATCTTTCCACGATAATAATCACCAGTGAATTCGATATTGAAGGTGTGTTTTCTTCCATTCCACAATATCTTGAATGTCGTGTCCTTGAGCTGGAAACTTAGAATTGCCATATCGCCATCGTGCACTATGTTTATTTTGCTAAGACTGTCAGCACTTGTCTAGAGGGAAAGAAGTTGTGTTAGTTGTTAATGGAGTGTAGTATAATACACATACAACAACACACACATACGACAAATTATCTGTATTAAAACATTCCAAATGAACAAATTATTACTTTAAGTATTTTTAAGTTTTTATCACGAACATTGTATTGAACAATAGTGTATTACAGATATAAAGTCTAAAACAATACAATTTGTGCTCTACTTACAGTAACCACATTGTCCTTGTTAACGAGAACGCATTCACCTCCCACTGTAACTTAATGGCAACAGCTCTTGTCCTGACTTCTTCGATATCTTCCCTGGGTGTTAACTCGGCTGTGATTTCAAAGTCAGGTGTTGTGCTCATGCAATCTCTTACAAGAGTGTACCAACACATGCCTTGGAAACTGTACTGACGTCCATCTAAAGTAGTGATGTGAGGATCGCACTTGAATCCTTAAAATATACAAAACAAATCGTTATTACATATTTAAGTGTATTTTTGTAGAAACAATAGTATGTATATAATTGTCAAAAATAATCTGGTTTAAAGTAGTAATTTCAAATTCAAGGCTATGCCTAACGTAGTAAATGTATTTGCCTCGCGATCAGATACATTATAGACAAATGTGGAAAATAATACTATTTGTCATTCCAGAACAGAATCTTGGTCTTTGATTGATGTCGAGTTCGTTTAGTCTTTGTAAATATGTTATATAGGAAATTGATAGGACTTGTCACAGTCAATTTGCACATATT